CCCCAAGGGTCAGTCCTGGGACCAATCCTTTTCAACTTATTCATAAATGATCTGGAGAAAGGGGTAAGCAGTGAGGGTCAAGTCAAGGTTGACTATCCCAAACTGTTTAGGATAGTCAAGACAGAAGCAGACTGTGAGGGACTCCAAAAAGATCTCACCAAACTGAGTGGTTGGGCAACAAAATAGCAAATGAAATTTAATGTGGATAAGTGTAAAGTAATGCACATCGGGAAAAATAACCCCAACTATAGGTACAGTATGATAGGGGCTAATTTGGCTACGACAAATCAGGAAAGAGATCTTGGAGTTATCGTGGACAGTTCTCTGAAAACTTCCACGCAGTGTGCAGTGGCGATCAAAAAGGCAAATAGGATGCTAGGAATTATTAAGAAAGGGATAGAAAATAAGACCCAGAATATCTTACTGCCCCTTTATAAAACTATGTTACACCCACATCTTGAGTACTGTGTACAGATGTGGTCTCCTCACCTCAAAAAAGATATTTTGGCCTTGGAAAGAGTTCAGAAAAGGGCAACTAAAATGATTAGGAGTTTGGAACAGGTCCCATATGAAGAGAGGTTAAAGAGACTGGGACTTTTCAGTTTAGAAAAGAGGAGACTGAGGGGGGATATGCTAGAGGTCTATAAAATCATGAGTGGTGTGGAGAGGGCGAATAAAGAAAAGTTATTTATTAGTTCCCATAATAGAAGAACTAGAGGACACCAAATGAAATTAAGGAGTAGCAGGTTTAAAACTAATAAAAGAAAGTTCTTCTTCACACAGCGTGTAGTCAACCTGTGGAACTTCTTGCCAGAGGAAGCTGTGAAGACTAGAACTATAACAGAGTTTAAAGAGAAGCTAGATAATTTCAGGTCCATAAAAGGCTATTACCCAGGGGATAGAAATGGTGTCCTTGGCCTCTGTTTCTGAGAGTCTGGAGAAGAATGGGAGGAGACAAATCGCTTGGTCATTGTCTTCGGTCTACCCTCTCTGGGGCACCTGGTGCTGGCCACTGTCGGCAGACAGGCTATTGGGCTAGATGGACCTTTGGTCTGACCCAGTACGGCCGTTCTTATGTTCTTAGAAGTGGATCATTCCTAGCGTATGCTCTGTAGCTGTGACTATTCCGAGAGGGGAATTTGCCTTTGTAATGCATTAGCCAGTTGAGATCCCTATTCAGTTCTTAGCTGACAGTGTTGACTTTGTAAGTGAATTCCAATCCACGTGTCTCCTTTGTCACTGGCTTGGAAATGCTTTTGTGGAAGGAGGGCTACTTTCAAGTCCATTGCTCAATGTCCCCTCAAGCGTGTGTGTGCTACCATTCCTGAGGTCTGATACGTGTTCATTTAGCCATTGTGTGCCCATGTCCTCATTAGGTACAATTCTTGGATATTTTCCTTTTCCTTTTCCTTTTCCTTCAGAAAACCTGGGTCCCTCTAGGGCAAAAACTTTCCCAGACGCTTACCACAAACCATGTGATTGGACTTCTGGAAATGAAAGAAAAACCATGTAGCTATTGAAAGTCAAAAGGCTCTTTGCTCAATCAAGAAATGCGAGAGGGAATTTCACTTCCTGCAGGTGGCCTGCATAATGCCATGGACCCTCTCCGCAGCTTTCTTCTCCATCATTCCATTGTTTCCCAACCTGCTGTTTGAGAATTGCCTATTGCCGCCTGAACTACAGGATGAACTTTCATCCGGTACAATCCATAAACAACAAAGGACGAAGGAGAAGAACCACGACATTGATATTCTGATGCAGCAGAGTCTTTAATGTGAATGACATTTGCGATAAACAATTACAGAAAGCAATAATACAAACCAGAGAGAATGTTTTCCCGCTGCTTTAATATGGGCTATTGGAGGCAAGAAGCTTTTTTTTCTTTTTTTGCAGCTGCAAGGTCGGCCAAAAAATTAATAAATATGACTGATGCCTTTCTTAAGCCCCTTCTTTGCTTCACACCTTAAGGTTATTATAAACAGAGTGAGCGTAATTCAGAGTGAGTCCACATGTGACTAAGAGAAGAAGCATGTGTCTGGGAAAGCATTGGCAGAAAGAGTTCCTAGCAAGACATTAGAAATGGGTCCATGAGAAAAAGGGGCTGGGCAGATACTGCTCATGTGGGGCTCAGCTGCAGCCTGGCTGATACAGCCCTTCTGAAATCGATATCGGGATCTATCGGTTGCTGTTCATTTTCAGGGTTCCTTTGGCCATGTGCAGCTTCCACTCAGGTACCTATGACAAGATACCCCGGTGCCACAAGATCCCCCATAACCGTAACCTCCCCTATAACCACAGAGTCCCCCATAACCTCCCCCATAACCACAGAGCCCTCCATAACCTCCCCCATAACCACAGAGTCCCCCAAAACCTCTCCCGTAACCATAACCACCTCCATAACCACAGAGACCCCCATAACCAAAATGTCCACCATAACCACCCAAACCTCCCAAGCCGTACATTCCCCCATAAGGCGCTCCATATCCATAGCCAGATCCCACCACAGGGGCTCCTAGAGCTGCCACTTCACTCTGCTGAGGGAAGGTGCTCATAATGGGCCCTGGGATGGTCACGGCAATCGGTGAGGGTCTGATCACCACTTCGGAGTCAGGGCACTGCCTCACGCACGGCTCGTTGCAGGTGCCGGAAACTGGGCTGGGTCGGGCCACCCCGCATTCTGGATAGTACAGGCTGGAGCAAGACATCTTTGTGTGATTGAAGTGAACCTGAAATAGAATAGAATGGAATAAAGATAAGGTTCATTGTCTCATAGCTCGGACTGAGAGAAAGAGGAAGGGTGGATTTCTATATTATGTTTGTTGGTATGTATTAGTTCCTAGTTCATCTTTCAATGCCTCTTATCCACTTTCACTAAACTTCCCTCCCAGAGGTCTCCCTTGAAACCTTCTCAATATGAAAATCTGGGATTGTGTGTCCAGATCAGACATTTCTCTCAGGGTATGTCTACACTATGGGAAAAAGTTGAATAAAGAAATGCAACTTCAGCTATGTTAATTGCATAGCTGAAGTGAAGGCTCTGTGGACACTGCAGAAAGTCAAAGGGAGAACACTCTTCTTTGGACTTGTCTTACTCCTCGTACACAGAACTATTGATATGGACCGAATTGCCCTTTTCCTTTTAATAACCTGTCTTAAGTGGACCCGCTAATACCAACCCTGGATAATTGACAGTGGCAGCTTCGATCTTCCTCTGTGGCATAGATGTACCCAAAGACACTATAGCTGGAATAATGCCAATCTTTTCCTTTTCTTTGAGGAGCCAACCTCGGCATGCAAACTAATTTTCTCTCCTTTCATAGTGCTTCTTTGGTTTACCAACTCCTAGTGGTCACCAACGATTGCTGATTATTGAAGAGAAACTTTTCTTTTTCCCATAGAAATCACTAAGGACAAGATCCTCAACAGAGTAAAATGAGTCCAGGCCCAGTGATGTCAATGGAGCAAACCATACCTATACCATTTGAGGTGAAGCATCTTCGGGGAGGATACATACTCATGAGAACAGAGGAATTGGTACATTGGATCATATCAGTTGGCAGCTTAAGAATTATCCTATCCCCCTAAGCGAGGTGTAGCAGCTGCTTTAGAATATATTAGGAGAGTGCTGAATTAGCCATGTATGAACTAAACTGGGAAAGTTTCTTCTGATCCCAGCTACATGAGAAACTGCCAAAGGACTTTCTATAGTTCCTTTAAAGGTGAAACCCTTTCTTTTGTTTCCAGTTAATGGGAAATCTGTTTTGCAATTCCATGTGTTGCTCCAAAAAAACCCATCTTTGGCTTCAAATCGTACATCCATCAAAACCTGCAACTGAATAACTATGTGGGATAAATATGGAAGAAAAACCTTGTTCATGATAAGTATCATGGAGACTCAAGGCAAGATTCACTCTAACGTGGAGAAGGCCCTTAATGTGCCATCTCTTGGAGGACAAAGAGATGGAGTCAAATAGGACTTACCGAGATCACCGAGGAGATGAAGTCCAGAGAAGCATTTAGAAGAGTTTTGAATTCTGAGCGCTTTTATACAGTTTGTAGGATGGCCTGGAAGATTTATGATGCATTTTGTACAGGAACCGCCAATTAGTTATCACACAAACTTGGTTTACCTAGGTACATCCTCCCTTTGAGGCTGCTGCTTTCTCAGGGCTGGGTGTTATTATTATTAGGGCTAATCCCATTGATGCACATTACACTCAGCATTCCTGGGGCCTTGGTGGTGCAATGAGAGCGAATGTCAAGGTGATTCAGAGCTGGATCAGGAGCACAACTGGGTCTCAGGAGCAGAAATCCAGTTTGATCATGTTGGTCAATCGTGGGGACACTGTGTAGCTTATTCTAACTTTGGTAGGATGTGGAGAGCTATTCTTGAGTGTTCTTACAGATACCGACTTTTCAGATAGATGTTCTGATATCAATCACCACCAGTCAAAAGTCTTTAAGGCACTTCAGGCTCAATCTATTTGTTCAGTTCAGAATATTGTGGTCACCTTGACATTTGGTCACGTGAAGCTGAATTCTCTTCAAGGACCCAATTCTCTTGGTTTCCTTGTCCATTGGTTTCCTTGTCCATTGGTTGAAAGCAGTTTTCTCTGAACTATGCAGGGTAAAGAGACTTTATTCTCTGGCTCTTCATCTTCCCTTCAGCTTTACAGCAAATATTAAAGGGAAATGAAGAAGTACATTGAATGAGAATGAAAGAGCCCCAATTTCACAGGTTCGGATTCAAGAAGCAAACCCTAAAATGACATGTTAGACCTTGACTTACTTTTTTTAAGTCATTCTAATATTTGTCATTGAAACATGTAATCCTAATACCTGTTATTACTCCTATAATAACACAATTCTTTGGCCGTCTAAAACATAATGGCTGCGTCTAGACTGGCAAGTTTTTCCACAAAAGCAGGCGCTTTTGCGGAAAAACTTGCCAGCTGTCTACACTGGCCGCTTGAATTTCCGCAAGAACACTGACGATCTCATGTAAGATTGTCAGTGTTCTTGCGGAAATACTATGCTGCTCCCGTTCGGGCAAAAGCCCTCTTGAGCAAATACTTTTGCGCAAGAGGGCCAGTGTAGACAACGCGGTATTGTTTTGCGCAAAGAAGCCCCGATCGCAAAAATGGCAATTGGGGCTTCCTTGCACAAAACCGCGTCTAGATCGGCACAGATGCTTTTCTGCAAAAAGTGATTTTGCGGAAAAGTGTCCGTGGCAATCTAGACGCTCTTTTCCGCAAATGCTTTTAATGGAAAAACTTTTCTGTTAAAAGCATTTGCAGAAAATCATGCCAGTCTAGACGTAGCCACCGAGTTGTTGTGAAGTGCTTTAAATGCTTAGATCAGAGGAAGCACCAGACAATCCACCATGATAGTTACAATTACACCAGTTTGCCACAGAGGTCAACGGAGGCACGTTAAGATGAAGGTCAGGCAGGGAGAGATTGGCGAATCAAAAACAAAAAAAAGAAGTGGTTGGGACCCTGAATCTCCTGATCCCCACTGGACACTTACCATTCTCCCCTTCGAAATACGTCACTCACCTGAGAGTAGTTCTTGGAGAGGCTTCTTCTGGTATTTGTCTTATTTTAGTGTGATGATTTTTGGAAAAAGTTTCAGTGAAATATTGTCTCATGTAAGTGTGAACCAAGATCTACAATCCATATTTTGCCATCCATTATAGTTCCCTTTATTTGCAGGGGACAGCGCTGTGATGGCTATTTCCATATGAGTAGATTTAAATTATATTGTATGAAAGATTATTCCAGTGGATTTTAATGTGGGCAGTTTGATTCCTGCACTGCACATGAACAAACATGAAATGCACTCGCTTGGAATTCATTGGACAATCAATGTCCTCACAAGTAAAGGTGGCTAATGTTAGAAACACGACCTATTTCATCCCTCATTTCACAAATCTTGAGGAATTCCAAACCACTGAGTCATTACGACCCATTAGAGAGACGTGTTCCCTAAGGAAAGAAAAAGTTGCACGCACAGGGCAGAGGGCGATTTCATCCCACTGGGTAACATGCTCCAAAGGAAGTTTTTGGTGCTGGAATTCTTTATGGTGGTTTCCATCGCTACCACACTTACAGAAGTGATATCAATATGATGGACTGTAATTCTTTTGGAGAAGTATTGTCTTCAGCAATAAAGAAGAGACAATTTAACTGGACCAGCTGTTACAATTGATGCTTATGTTGAAGGATGCACACTTTTTAAACAAGGAATGTAATTACCTGGCTCTCTATAAGGGTGTAACAATGACGGACCTCACGTTTATCCTGTGGAAGAGTCAGAAATTCTGTGTCATGTTTCCATTTCATCACTTCGCACCCCGTAATCTTCACCTCAAAGTGCCTTTTTTTGACACCTATAAAATGGGTATAATAGGATTTTAAAGGAAGAAGTTATTCAGCATTCTTTGAAATGAATATTTCTAAGGACTACAAAACACTCAGTGGTGTTTCATACACGCAAAGCAACGTACTCTTAATTAACATTAAATTATTCGGGGATTAGACACTCCTGCAATGAGTAATAGAATCACTTAAAAAATAGAGGCCAAGGTCTCTTCTGTCCTTGAATTGGGTCATGATTGAGAGTCACAGAATTTGGAATTTTTTTTGCATTCAAATTTATTGTTTCATTTGGTATTTAAAATATATTTTATAGAAAAATATGGTGCCTTTTTATGTAAATCAGTAAAATTGCTTCAGGGCCTTAAAACTGAAGGAAGATATTTCTACCTTCTTCCCCATCTATGAAAGACATTGCTATGGACGTGTATTATAGTGAGATCTTCATTCAGGATCTGGAAGGAATATTTTCTGCAACACGACCTATATCTGATCAGATTACCTGTCTTATCCTATCCCAGAGCCATCTCCTCCTCACCGAGAATCGATGACCTCCACCTCCTCTGGGCATCTCAGGGCCTATTCAAATGTGTTATCTTACAAGACCTCTCTTTCCTGTCAGCTCAGACACAGAGAGAATGTTATGGATGGAGTCCACGTTTTATGGCTTAACACAAGAGCGTTCCATCAAAGAGCCCTGCTTCCTGTCCCAGACCTCCATCCCTTCCCTGGACCCATGAGGAAATCAACTTCCTGCAGCCCCTTGAAATCGTGTTGGTGACAAAAGCAGAGGCCCAGAGACAGGTCAAATTTCAGTCATCGGTGGGAGAATTTCACTCCTCAGAGAGGATCATGTTCTATTTTATTGTGTGCTCAGAAATAGTGTAAAGCGGGAATGTGGATGCACCTGGATGTTATTCTCTCTTCTAGGTGTTCTTCTCTCTTCCTGCCAAAGGAGAATTTGAGAATGAAACTCCCGATAGAAAATGCTCTGCAGGAAATGGAGTGACTGATTGCACCGAGAATGGGATCTGAACATTCGATATTCATAAGAACACTCAACAATAGCTCTCCACATCCTACCACAATTAGAATAAACTACACAATGTCCCCCAAAGAGACCAATGTGAAGCAAAAGATCAAACTGGATTTCTGCTCCTGAGACCCAGTTGTGCTCCTGATCCAGCTCTGAATCACCTTGACATTCGCTCTCATTGCACCACCAAGGCCCCGGGAATGCAGAGTGTAATGTGCATCAATGGGATTAGCCCTAATAATAATAATGCCCAGCCCTGGGGAAGCAGCTGCATCAAAAGGAGGATGTACCAAGGCAACCAAGTTTGTGTGATAACTAATTGGGGGTTCCAGTTCAACACGCACCATAAACCCTCCAGGCCATCCTAGAACGTGTATAAAAGCACCCGAGACACTGAACTCTTCCAAACACTTCTTTGGACTTCGTCTCCTCAGTGATCTCGGTAAGTCCAATTTGACTCCATCTCTTTCTCCTCCGAGAGATGTCACAGTGGGGGCCATATCTGCTTTAGAGTAAATCTTGTATTGATTCCCTGAAATTTTTATCATGCATGATATTGGTCTTCGATCATTATCCCATATAGTTATTCAGCTGCAGGTTGTGGTGGATGTATGATTTGAAGCTAAAAGTGTGTGTGTGGGGAGGGGAGGGGGTTCAGGAGCAACACATGGAATTCCTATCAACTGGAAACAAAATTATGGCCTTTTAACCTTTAAAGGAACTATAGGAAGTCCTTTAGCCATTTCTCACTAAGCTAGATTAGGAAGAAAGTTTCCCAGCTTACTCCACACGTGGCCAATTCAGCACTCTCCTAATGTATTCTAAAACAGCTGCTACAATTCAGTTTTGGGGATAGGAGAATTTTTAAGCTGCCGACTACTGTGATATAATATCCTAATTCCTCTGTTCTCATGAGCATGTATCCCCATGGAAGATGCTTCTCCTCAGATGGTATAAGTGAGGTGTGCTCCACTGTAGTCATTTTAGCCCAGTTGAGAATATTGCCCTTCGTGATTTCTATGGGAAAAAGAAAACTTTCTCTTCAGTTATCAGCTAGCATTGGTGACTGCCGGAGTTGGAAATCCAAAGAGCCACACTATGAAAGGAGACAAAACTGGTTTGCATGCCTAGGTTGGCTCCTCAAAGAAAAGGATAAAATGAGCATAATCCTAGATGTAGTCTCTTTGGATTCGTCTATGCCGCAGAGGAAGATCGAAGCTGCCACTGTCAATCATCCAAGGTTCGAATTAGCGGGTCTACTTAAGACAGTTCATTGGAAGGAGAGGGGCTCTTCAGTCGAAGCCAGTGGTCTCTGTTTCATGAGGAGTAAGGGCAGTTCCTTTGACTCTCTGCAGTGTTGGCAGTGCCTTGATTTCAATTATGTAATTAACGTTATTAATTTGTCCCATAGTGTAGACATACTCTGAGAGAAATGTTTGAAATGGAAACAGAATTCCAGATTTCTATCAATTAAATGGTTACACTCCCAGTTGATTTGAGACAAAATCAGTGAGAAGGTTTCAAAGGGGCCCTTTGGGAGGAAAGTTTACTGTAAGTGGATAAGAAGACTAGAAAGAGGAAACAGGAACAAATACATACCACCGAACATTGCAAAGAAATCCACTCTTCCTCTTTCTCTCAGGCCCCAGGCAGATCTCACAAGAATAAGAACTGAGCTATGAGGCAATTCCTCAACAAACACCTGCATCTTCCCTTTATGCGATTCTATTCTATTTCAGATTCACTTCCGTCACACAAAGATGGCCTGCTCCAGCCTGTACTATCCAGAATGCGGGGTGGCCCGACCCAGCCCAGTTTCCGGCACCTGCAACGAGCCGTGCGTGAGGCAGTGCCCTGACTCCGAAGTGGTGATCAGACCCTCACCGATTGCCGTGACCATCCCAGGGCCCATTATGAGCACCTTCCCTCAGCAGAGTGAAGTGGCAGCTCTAGGAGCCCCTGTGGTGGGATCCGGCTATGGCGGCTCATTTGGTGCGGGAGCACTCTCCGGCTATGGAGCTCCTTACGGGGGATACTACGGCTTGGGAGGTTTCGGTGGTTATGGGGGACGTTTTGGTTATGGGGGTCTCTGTGGTTATGGAGGTGGTTATGGTTACGGGAGAGGCTTTGGGGGACTCTGTGGTTATGGGGGAGGTTATGGGGGACTCTGTGGTTATGGGGGAGGTTATGGGGGGCTCTGTGGTTATGGGGGAGGTTATGGGGGACTCTGTGGATATAGGGGAGGTTACGGTTATGGAGGAGCATGTGGCACCGGGGTATCTTGTCATAGGTACCTGAGTGGAAGCTGCACCCCATGTTAGACACGGCAGGAATCTCTATGGCCAAAAGAAAGACCAGGAAATGAACAACAACTGATAATTTCCGATATCGATTTCAGAAGGGTCGTACCGGCCTGGCTCCAAATGAGCTGCACGCGAGCTGTATCTCCCCAGCCCCCTTCTCTCATAGACTCGAGTCTAATGTCTTGCTAGGAATGTTTTCTGTCAATGCTTTCTCCCACCACATGCTTCTGCTCTTATGCGGACTCACTCTGAATTACGCTCACCCTGTTATAATAACCCTAAGGTGTGAAGCAAACAAGGGCGTTAAGAAAGGCATCAGTTGCACTTATTAAATTTTTGCTGATCTTGCAGCTTCAAAAAAAGAAAAGGAGCTTCTTGGATTAAATAGCCCGTATTAAAGCAGTGGGGGAACATTCTCTGGAATTTTATTATTGCTTTCTGTAATTGTGTATCGCAAATGTCATTCACATTAAAAACTCTGCTGCATCCGAATATCCGTCTTGTGGTTCTTCTCCTTCCTCCTTTCTTGTTTATGGATAGGACCAGATGAAAGTCACCCCTGCAGTTCAGGCAGCAATAGGCAATTTTCAAACTGCACGTTTGGAAGCTATGGAATGGTGGGAGAAGAAAGCCGCGGAGAGCGTCCATGGCATTATGCAGTCCACCTGCAGGGGGTGGAATTCCTTCTTGCATTTCCTGTTTTAGGAAAGAGCCTTTTTATGCAAGATTTACACAGCTTGTGACTTTCAATGGCTAAGTGGTTTTTCTTTTATTTCCAGAAGCCCAATATGGCAAGCTTCTGGGAGAGATTTTGCCCTAGAAAAAAAAAGGGAAATACCCAAGAAATGTACACAATATAGACATGGATGTCTATATGTACACGTCAGACATGACGAATGGTGGCACACTCACACCTGTAGGGGACACTAACACTAATATTCAGCAATTGACTTGAAAGTAGCCCTCCTTCCACAAAAACATTTCCAAGCCAGTGACAAAAGAGACACCTAGATTGGAATTCACTTGCAAATTCAACACTGTCAGCTAAGAACTGGATAGGGATCTCAACTGGCTAATGCATCACCAAGGCAAATTCCCCTCTCTTAATAGTCACAGCTACAGAGCACATGTTGGGAATGACCCACTTGTACCCTGACTTCACCAAGCCAATCCCCGTTTCCGTCGTTATCACAACTCCTGGTACTCTGAACGAGCATTCAGACCAGTTTGTCTCTGTCAGGTCATCCCTAGAGCAGTTTCCATTATAAAACTCTTAAAGATACATTCTGCTTTAATTATGGAGTCTGGAGCCTTCTTTGAGAATTGCTCCAAGACATTTTTCTCTTCTCCTGTGCCAGGACCTCCAATGATATGTACAACTCCGCATTCATCTACAGAGAGAGTCTTCCATGACCATCTAAGGAGCATTTAAATTCAAGCAGGTCTGCTCCTTTTTCAAATTTGCACTCAAATTGTTGTGCCGGGGATAAGATGAGACGATTTAGGACAATGGGGCAGAAATACTTTTCAGCTCCATACTGAGATTCTGGATTTCAGTGCATCCTAGAACTCAGTAAAACTAACCTTGTTGTCTTTGGTGGCCTTGCTGTGTTCATCGGCCGTTCAAAAGCAAACTCCACTCCTTTGTCAAATAACATGACCAAATGTTCATTTGACAAGGATATTGAAACTCAGCTGAGTCCATTTTGCCTATAGACACTGTCACAACTTGGTTTGGTGATGTGGTGAGAGCCCCAAGGGTTTAAAGCCGACTACCCAGTGAAAACTGCCAGATGATGGTGAAACAAATGATTTTTTATTAAACAGAATTATTCTTTTATCAAAAACAAATGACTTTCTAATGAGTTTTAAACAAGCAATTGCCTAATGCTTTTACAGGGGGGAAAACCTGAACTAAACTGCACTTAACTGATTACAAACTCTCTGATTACAGTCCAATTATATCAGATCACTGTCTCTAAGTCCCTTGAGGCAGTGCAGAGTGCAAGCAAAAAATACAAAAAACAGAGCCAATCTAATACTAATAAAAACTCCACCCACAGCCAGTCCCTCTATGGTTATTTTTGAGCAGCTGGTGGAGTTAGTCATTAATCTACTTCTACAATTTAACAACTCCTAGGTTTTTATTTCTAACACTTATACTTGGCCTAAATACAACACTATTACACAACACAAGATTATACAATTTACACAGTGTGATTAATAGGACTCAGTTACACTCTACAGAATTACACAGTGTGATTAACACAAATCAACTATTAACTGAACCAATGATTAATATATTTAAGTGATACTTACAAATCCAGCAACGATAACAGCATAAAGACACACAAGAACTCGAAGCATGCTCAGGACTCGCACACCCCTATCTTTGGCTCGGAGGGTGGCAAGGCAGCCTCAGGGCTGGGCAAAAAAGACACGCGCCCCCAATACACGGAACTCCCCCAAACAAAGGAGTCGAGGGTCTTTTATACCATAACCTGATGTCCGGTACCATATTAGGGTCTGTTCTTTGACAGGGCCTGATAGGCTGGTAATAAGGTAATGTGGCAATATTGCCCTATAGGATTTTTCATGATATCCGCCTGATGGCCCCGTGGACAGTGCCTGATGTGGGCATGGTCAGTGTTCATGACAATTGCGCTTTATCTCCTCATGCTCACTTCCCTGTTCTTGGATGCCTGCAAGGTATCCAGAGGAGAAGCTGTTCTGGATTTGGTTTTAACAAATAGGGAGGAACTAGTTGAAAACTTGAAAGTGGAAGACAGTATAGGGGACAGTGATCATGAAATGATAGAGTTCATGATCTTAAGGAAAGGTAGAAGGGAGACCAGCACAATTGAGGTAATGGATTTCAGGAAGGCAGATTTTGATAAGCTCAGAGAACTTGTAGGTAAGGTCCCATGGGAAGCAAGACTGAAGGGAAAAACAACTGAGGAGAGTTGGAAGTATTTCAAAGGGACGTTGTTAAGGGCCCAAAAGCAAACAATTCCGCTGTGTAGGAAAGATAGAAAATATGGCAAAAGACCAGCTTGGCTTAACAAGGAGATCTTGCACAATCTCAAAATAAAAAAGGAGTCTCATAAAAAATGGAAACTAGGACAAATAACAAAGGATGAATATAGGCAAGCAACACAGGAATGCAGGGGCAAGATTAGAAAGGCAAAGGCACAAAATGAGATCAAACTAGCTACAGGCATAAAGGGAAACAAGAAGACCTTTTATAAATACATTAAAAGCAAGAGGAAGACCAAGGACAGGGTAGGCCCACTGCTTAGCGAGGAGGGAGAAGCAGTAACAGGGAACTTGGAAATGGCGGAGATGCTCAATGACTTCTTTGTTTCGGTCTTCACCGAGAAGTCTGGAGGTGTGCCTAACGTAGTGAATACAAGCAGAGAGAGGGTAAGTTTAGAAGATAGGATACACAAAGAACAAGTTAAAAATCACTTAGGAAAGTTAGAGGTCAGCAAGTCACCAGGTCCTGATGAAATGCATCCCAGGATACTCAAGGAGCTGATAGAGGAGGTATCTGAGCCTTTAGCTATGATCTTTGAAAAATCATGGCAGACAGGGGAGATTCCAGAAGACTGGAAAAGGGCAAATATTGTGCCCATCTATAAAAAGGGGAATAAGAACAACCCAGGAAACTACAGACCGGTCAGTTTAACGTCTGTCCCAGGGAAGATAATGGAGCAGGTAATTAAGGAAATCATATGCAAACACTTGGAAGGTAATAAAGTGATAGGGAATAGCCAGCATGGGTTTGTGAAGAACAAGTCATGCCAAACTAATCTGATAGCTTTCTTTGATAAGATAACGAGCCTTGTGGATAAGGGAGAAGCGGTGGATGTCATATACCTAGACTTTAGTAAGGCATTTGATACGGTCTCGCATGATATTCTTATTGATAAACTAGGCAAATATAACTTAGATAGGGCCACGATAAGGTGGGTGCATAATTGGCTGGATAACCGTAGTCAGAGAGTTGTTGTTAACGGTTCTAAATCCTGCTGGAAAGGGATAACAAGTGGAGTTCCTCAAGGGTCTGTTTTGGGACCCATACTGTTCAACATCTTCATCAATGATGTAGATATTGGGATAGAGAGTACGCTTATTAAGTTTGCAGATGATACCAAACTGGGTGGGGTTGCAACTTCTTTGGAGGATAGGGACATAATTCAAAATGACCTTAGCAAGTTAGAGAAATGGTCAGAGGTAAACAGGATGAGGTTTAATAAAGAGAAATGCAAAGTGCTCCACTTAGGAAGGAACAATCAGTTCCATACATACAAGATGGGAAGCGACTGTCTAGGAAGGAGCATGGCAGAAAGGGATCTAGGGGTCATAGTGGACCACAAGTTGAATATGAGTCAACAGTGTGATGCTGTTGCAAAAAAAGCAAATATGATTCTAGGTTGTATCAACAGGTGTGTTGTAAGCAAAACTCGTGAAGTCATTCTGCCGCTCTACTCTGCACTAGTTAGGCCTCAGCTGGAGTACTGTGTCCAGTTCTGGGCGCCACATTTCAAGAAAGATGTGGAGAAATTGGAAAGGGTACAGAGAAGAGCAACAAGAATGATTAAAGGTTTAGAGAACATGACCTATGAAGCCAGGCTTCATGAACTGGGCTTGTTTAGTTTGGAAAAAAGAAGATTAAGGGGGGACAAAGAAAGAAAGAAAGAAAGAAAGAAAGAAAGAAAGACCTCACCTGCTATTTTGAGCACTTGTTACTCTGTTTCTCCTAAATATCCCTCTTTCTCCTAAATAATTACATAGTAAGTTGCAAATTTTACTGCCATGGAGTGATGGGAGAAGAAAGAGCTTTCAGAGGGTTCATAGCTTTAAGACATCTGTCTGCTAAATAGTTAATGAAAGGAGAACCTGAACCCCTGTGCTAAAGAGCCTTTTGCTACAAAGACTTGCCAGCTTTTGTATCATGAGGATGCAGAGGTGGCTTTGATTTAAAAAACTCAATTTGCAATGAGCATCTTTATGAGAGATTGTGGGACAGAACCTGGATTATCAGATGCAAAAGAAAAGCAGCCACCAAACCCTTTGGAGAATACAGAGTGAGCTTTTTCCCGGACACCTTGACTGGCTGCGAGACATTCAAGATGGGAGCCTGTTGCTTCTGCAGTCAGAAAGTTTGAGTCTTCACTAGGAAGCTGTAATCAGCCGCAAGTCCAGGGGTAACTTTGCTTTTCTCTGGAGCTCGCCAGCTTCAAGCTTTGTGTGTTTCACACAGGTGAATGTCAGGTTACTGCTCTGTCCATTTTTCATGGCTGATTTATCTGGAAGCCTTGGGCCAAACCAGTCCCTGTTCCCACGGCTATTGCTGCACTCGCTGCCAAAGATGGATTTCAAAGCCGTGTGTCTTTGGAATTAGATTTTGAAAACATTTTCAATAATCCATTCTCAGAAAGAAAATCTGGAATTACAGAGTCAGCAGTCCCATTGCAGAGTACTTCTTC